CCAAAGCACATCCTTCCTGCTGGCCTTGGACCTAGCTCCCCACTCATCGAGCCAGTGTGTTGGACCCACTTCGTGGGAACTCTGAACCAGTTCTGTTTGGGGTGGCGGGTGCTGTCCTGGCTCTCGCCGTGCTGAGAAGGCGGGCTCCCCAGGTCTTCTCAAGGCAGTCCTTGGTGCCTGCCTCCCATACTGCAGGGACGAATTAAAGCATTTCCTGGGTCAAAAAAAAAATCTTCACTGGTCTGTACATGTCTGAGTGATCAAAAAAGTGCTTCAAATACTGATTTTGGGATTACAAATAAATTGGCAAATTCAAAATTCAGAATTGTGAATAATGAGTATCAATTGTGCCATGTTCATAAAGGACAAAAATGCCATTATTATCTTGATAGATGCAGGAAAAACATTTGATAAAATTCAACACCCTTTCATGATAAACTTAGTCAACAGCTAGGAATGAAAGGAAACTTCCTCAATATGATAAAAGGCATCTATCAGCCAAGACCGGTTTGGCTCAGTGGATGGAGCGTCGGCCTGCTGAAAGGTCCCACGTTTGATTAAGGGCATGTACCTGGGTTGCGGGCACATCCCCAGTGGGGAGTGTGCATGAGGCAGCTGGTCGATGTTTCTCTCTCATCGATGTTTCTGACTCTCTGTCTCTCTCCCTTCCTCTCTGTAAAAACTCAATAAAATATATTTTTTTAAAAAAATAAATAAAAATAAAAGGCATCTATCAGAAACCCACACCTAAGATCATACTTCATGGCAGCAGACTGAATGTTGAATGCTCTCCTCCTAAGATCAGGAAGAACACAAGGATGTTCTCTCTCACCGCTCCTATTTAACATTGTACTTGAGGTTCCAACCATGGTAATTAGGCAAGAGAAATAAAAGGCAAGCATACTGGAAAAGAAGGAAAACTAAACGTATTTACAAATGACATTATATAGGAATCCTAAAGAGTTTATTTTAAAACAATGAGTTCACTCACTTTGCAATTGTTTGTTATCTAATTAGGCTGTAAACCAAGATATTCACTGTATACCAGGTAACATAAAAAAAATTAAAATGAGTTCAACAGGTTATAGGGTAGATATACGATCAATATACAAAAATCCGTTTTATGAATGACAACTTTATTTTTTTACAGTTAAAGGCTGATTAAAAAAACGTAAATTCTATTAAAACACATCTCAATTAAACACTGATAACTATATTTACTTATTAAATGCTGTTAAAGTTTTCTAAAACAACTTGAAAACATCCAACATGCATGTTTAATCTCAGTACAGTGGGTTCAAGGCCACATGTTACATACATCAAGGCCAGATTGCAAGTTATCATCTTCATGTTTTCTTTTAAATGCATTTGATGATTCATTGGCAATATTTTGTGATGACATCATGTTAGTGGTAATAAGAATGATTTTGGACACAGTTGATAGATTAATTAGGGCATTCTGAACTGCTGATCTTACAGGAATTGATGCTTTTACAGCTAGGGACTATGAAGTGGGCATCTGTACTGTAAACCTTTGTCCTGTGAGGGACATTGGAGTCCCTGCTTTAGTTGAAACTGACATGATTTGTAGGGTTGATGTGCCAAGTGTGAGAGTAGTTGGTCTTCTAGTAACTAACCAACGCTTAACTGTGTAACTGTTATTCTTTCTGCAGAAGTAGATGCCTATTTTTTGTAAAGACTTAGGTCTATAGTTCGGAACAGCCAGGCAGTATCTGTCAGGTGGCAATCTAGGGCCTGAATGTGGCTTGATCAATGGCAAAGGGTTTGATTTTGTTGCCTTGCAATATCCAATGAAAAATTTATTGGGGGAGGACACTGGGTTGCCAATTGCACATCAGCTGCATCAATAGCAGCTTTCTTAGCATGGCTCGAAGGAATTTTTGCATCATTTAGAATTCTGGTCACTTATTGGAAGATAAGTAAATGCCAACATCTGATTGATAACCCTTGGCTCATATTCTATAATCCCCATAATCCTTCAGGGTTTGTACCATCATCTGCGCATCCTTTGGCATGCTCTTGGGGAAGCCATCCTGCCAGACTCCATGCATCCAGTGATCAGACTTCTTGAGCTTAATCACCCACATAATGTGTTTCAGTCCCGATCTGGATGCAAGTTTTTTTGTCTAGCGACCCCTGGTGTACCAGTGAGCAGGATGTTTGAAAGCAACGTGGTGACTCTCCAGTTTTATTTCTATACTAGCAATGAACATTCTGAAATTGAGACTTTTTTTAAAAAAATTCAATTTATAGTAGCATCACTATGAATAATGAAGAAATCAAAGAAGACCAAAAAAAAATGGGAAAACATCTTTGTTCATGGATTGGAAGACTTAACATTGTTAAGATGGAAGTGTTGCCCAAATTGGTCTACAGATTCAATTCCCATCAAAATCCCAACTGGCTCTTTTTTGCAGAAATTGACAAGTTAATGATAAAATTCAGACAGAAATACAAGGGACCCATAACCAAAACAACTTTTAAAAAGAAAGTTGAAAAACACACCAATTTTAAAACTTATTGCAAAGCTACAGTAATCAAGACAGTTTAGTATTGGCATAAAGATAGATGTATAGGTCAAGGGAATATAAAATATAACCTAGAGTTTAGAAATAAATTCATACATTTATGAATTTATTTTTTGACAACGGTATCAATCCCATTCAGTGGAAAAGAGTTGTCTTTTCAACAGTCAGGAAAACTACATAA